CATTGTCTTCTGATAATTTATCCGCTTTACTTTCTTCTTCGTTAACTTTTCCCGTCGTATCTAAAGTCGTTTCAGTGTATTATTGGTTTCTAACATCTTCCTATAATACTTTCTGATTGTATTGAACAAACATTCTTTAAAGTACTCATCTTATTAACTTTTACCCCGAAGTAAAACTTAATGTTTCGAATGTTTGTAAGACACTAAAATTTATTTCCAAAATTGAATTCCTTATATAGTAACTTAATATCTAATAAATACATGAGATAGGCTTATCGCCAATAGAGATACTGTACATTTAACAAATTAAAGTACACACACTTTCAGTAATTTTAAACTACTAACTTTATTTTATTTCTAGTACATGTATTTATACAATTATTTTATCACTAAACTAAGTGTTCAAATTGTTATCGCTACGTTGTGGACTGTATATTAGCTAGTGGACTGTATACTTAGGCGCATGTGTGTCTAAGATAAAAAAGGTTACAATCTTTGTTATTGATACACATGCGAATTGTAAAAGTAAAATGACAGAACTTCGGTTTTGACATACTTTATTCGAAATTCATCTTAAGACTTACTTATCTCTAATATTTTTCCCTTTATATATAGGGAGGATTCGAATTATTGAATCCTGATAAGACGCTTCGTTGTTTGGTTAGGCCAAACAACGATAATAAAATATTTAGAACAATAGTGAAAATCTTTAATTGTTTGGTTAGGCCAGACAATGAAAATACAAATGTTTAGAATAATATAATGTAGATCTGTTCGTTGTTTAGATCTTCAGGAATCGTTGTTCAGAATCTTACTGGAATTGCAAGAAAATGCAATTTCAGCTTTAGTTATTTTGATATTTATTCGCTATAATCGAAAAATGCTTGTGGCGAAAAATGGGTGTCGGGTTTCGTCTGTGACGTAACTTGCGCGTTATCATTTTACATTTGTGCACAGCTTGTGCTATAATCATAAAACATTGAAAAACAATAAAATTTTATCTTTAAAGCATTTAAGTAAACAATAGAAATTTTCTGGAATATTCAAATAATTAATACAGTCCTTTACAAATAGTATTTAGCGGATAACATTTTTGCTTACATATACAGAGTAAAAACTTATCTTCTAAAATAATAATAAATCTTAAAAATAAACTATAAAATGTGTTCATGTTTGAACATTCTGCCAGCGGCCTAATTCTACATTCCAATCTCGTTTGATTATTTAGCGTTCATTGGTCTGGTCATATTAGAGATTCTCCTTGTTAAAAATGTCCAATCGAGCAATTGCGCGTTCCGTATGCTTCCTTTTTACAAAATATATCACTATACCTATTATCAAAATTGTTACTAAGGAAAGAGATGTATGACTTGCTATTTGATGATATTTAATTTCACGTAATTTAATATTCTCTTCTTTTATGACTTTGATTTGACTCTGAAGCTCTTGCAGTTCATTTGTGTGATTGGATATTAATGAATTTAATGGTGGAATACGAATTCTAGTAGTGTTCCCTATCTTCGCTGTCAATGTGGCTGGTGTTTCCTTTTTCGAATTAGAGTTTATATTAAATGGTGATTTTATTGTAACACCTTCAATTCTTATTGTACATCCTGGTTGCAATGATATTCTTCCCTGTTGTGGAAGTTCTAAAATAAATTGCCGATTTTGATTACACTGGATATGTGCTGATGTTGGTTTAAATGTTTTAAATAACCAATTATTTGCATTATTTAGTTTTACCCAATATAGAGATGATTCCGCTTCAATGTATGTACATTTATAAGCGTTTAAAGACTTCAATGGTGAAATCTCACACGACGAGTCATTCGCATCTAGCCATGGCCAATTACCTTCACAAACATACTCCGCTTCTGTGACGTGTTTGCATAAGTTGAGCTGTGTTTCCGTCATCAAATGGTATGAGTCCATTTCGAAATTATATATAAGAAACTGCCTTTGTATCATTGGACTCAAAATTATCCCATGCTTTTCCATAGGCATCGGAATTACTTTGTATAGTTTTGATTCTTGTGTGTCAAATAATGGTATTTCTGCCTTTATGATTAGTTTCTTATCCATTATTGTTCCTATTGCCGATAAAAGCTTATAAATAACTTGCAACTGATTATCGCTATTTCCTGGCAGCGTTAATTTATTTAGAAGATGTTCTTTGATGCTCCTAACTTCTTCATACAGTTGAGTAGGAGTTATCAACGAAGGATTCAATTTCCTATGATTTATGTCAATTAAAAGCTCTATTATTTCTGTTTGAACATTTCTGTTTTCTTCAATTATTCCCTGCAGCTCTTTTGTTACCATGAAAAACTTAATTGACTCCCGATATACCAAATATGATTCCTGCATTGCCGACGACAAGATGTTGAGCCTATCTTGCATTTGTTTAAAATTATTATTTATCTCCGTGGTGGTTCTTTTTAACAAATTCACCGTAGAATCTACTACTGAAGTTTGCTTATTTATCTGATTCTTGATATCATGCTGATTTTCTAGTAATCTTATCATGTCTTCTTCGAACATTTTTCTATCTTCTGCATCCATTGTGCCAAACAATATGTGCTGCAGTGACCCGATGAACTCAAATGGCGCTCTTCTCGTTCTTTGATTTTTATATTGAAGCAAATATTTATTTGTGTCCTGCATCTGCTTTATTTGCTGTCTCATGTCTTCTATAATTGCCACACAATGGTTTTCAAATGTTTGCAGTTTAGAACAAATTTTCTCCATTTCCAATATAGTTGTACGTCCTTTATCAATTATTTCGAAAAAGGGCTCCAAATCAAAACATATTAACAGCTTCCATGATGATGATACCACGTTCATAGACCCAATTTCGTCCAAATAAACCACCGTGTCTTTGTCTATCTCATTCACTTTTCCTCCTTTAATTGCTTCTGACGCTACTCTAGATGGAATTAAAATCATTAGCAATAAAAGTAACATTAAATTAACAGATTTTTCTTTTTTCAAATCATTTCGTTTAATAACATTTATCTTCTTATTCTCAGCAACATGTATTTGTTCGTGTACGCCTTCCAATACACATAATTTCTGAATCGGACGTTTTATTGTGCCATTCTGAGTTTTTACCGATACTACTCTCACCAGATTATCTTTTCCAGGATGAACCTCAATTATCTTTCCAAGAGGCCATCTTCCTGGATATGTTTCCTCTTTCTTCATTATTACCACTTGGCCTTCCTTAACATTCGCTTGAACCTTTTTCCATTTGTACCTCTGCTGAAGATTTGTTAAATATTCTTCCTTCCATCGTTTCCAAAAATGTTTCTTCATTGCTTGAATTATCTTCCAACGATTTAATGAAGATATGTTTATATCATCTACTGCTTCTGGATAGTCAATGATAGCATGCCCAATTAAAAAATGACCTGGAGTTAATATATCATTGTCGTCTACATTTGCACAAAGCGGTCGTGAATTAAGTATGCCCTCAATTTGGGTTAGAAGTGTGCTTAACTCCTCATAAGTAAGTTTATTTTCGCCAACAACTCTTTTCAAGTGGTGTTTTATTGACTTCACGGCCGACTCCCATAAACCTCCAAAATGAGGACCTGCCGGTGGAATGAAATGCCATTTTATACCTTCTGCTTCCAATGCACAAACTGCACTCACATTGCTTTTAATAGCCTGTTGTAAATCCTTATCTAATTTTTTGGATGCTCCAACGAAGTTGGTACCGTTGTCTGAGTATATATGTGAACATTTGCCTCTGCGTGCAAACAATCGCTTTAGCGCCGCCAGAAATGAGTCTGATGTCATGTCACTTACCAACTCTAAGTGCAAAGCTTTAGTTGCCATACATACAAATACCGCTACGTACAATTTAAAAGTTTTTTGGCCTCGGCCTTTAGAACATTTTATTAGCAACGGTCCAGCGTAATTTACTCCACAATGAGCGAACGGAGCAGACACATTGACCCTATATTCTGGTAAATCACCCATAAGCTGCTTCTGCTTTAATGCTTTATAACGGGTGCACCTTACACATTCACGTATACACTTCTTAATCAAGTTTTTAAGTCCAAATATCCAATATCTTCTTTTTATAACATTTTCCATCAATCGATGTCCACCATGTAATGTTTCTCGGTGTGCTTCATTTATTATCAAATTCGCCAAATGACCTTTTGCTATAATTATTGGATGCTTTTTATCAAAACCAATTTTTGCATTGATTAATCGACCTCCAACTCTCAAAACTTGGTTTTTGTCTAAAAACGGATTCAAATTTGCCATTTTGCTTCGATGATCTATTTCACAGCTATTTTTCAATCTGCTTATATCCGTAAAAAATTGTGTTGTCTGATGACTTCTAAAAATAGCTGCATCTGCTCTTCTAAACTCCTCTACAGTTAGATATTCTGGAGACTTAGCCTTCCTCAGTCTGTCTATGAAACGAAAAATATATACTACCACTCTACTTAATTTTCTAAAAGATGAATATTTCTCGATGAGCTGATTAAATAAGTCTTCCTCTCTTAATTTACTGATATTTATTATTTTAGCTCCCATTTGTTCTTTTGGCCATGTCCTTCTATCATCGTTTAACCAGTTTGGACCTCTCCACCATAACGATTGGTTCTCTAACTTTTCCGGCTGAATTCCTCTGGATGCTAGGTCTGCTGGATTTTCCTTTGATCGCACATAAAACCAATTGGCGCTTGGAATTAACGATCTTATTTCATTTACTCTTGACCTAATAAATTTATTTTTGCTTGAATTGCTTTTTATCCAGCATAATGTAATCGTCGAATCACTCCATGCATACATTTTTATTTTTCTGTTAATTATGTTATGAATTTTATTTAATAATTTTGCCAATAGATGCGCTGCACACAGCTCAAGCTTCGGCAATGTTTTTCTATTTTTTATAGGACTTACCTTACTTTTTGCTGCTATCTATATCAATGACCTCATTGTCTTTTGATTTTTCCACCGTTTCTATTATATCCATGCTGTTAGAGCACCATTTTCTCAAATGAAATCCATACTTCTCCAAATGTGCCGATATCCTTAGCCGAATTCTTTTGCACTCTTGTATCACCGCCAGTTAGAAGATCGTCCATATAAAAATCGTCTTTAATTATTTTCGATATCTGATTATCCTGACATTCATTTGCTATTTCAAATAAAGTTCTTATAGCTAAAAATGAAGCAGGGGCAATACCGTAAGTTACAGTTGCTAACTTGTATTCTTCAATTGGCTGATTAATCTCGCTTCTCCACAAAATATGTTGGTATTTCTGATTATTTTTACTCACCCATATTTGTCTATATATTTTTTCTATGTCAGCAACTATGGCAAATTTTTTCAGTCGAAACTTCAACAATATATCAAAGATATCCCTTTGCAACCTTGGGCCAACATATAATACATCATTTAAACTATTTTTATTCGTGGTCTTTGCCGAAGCATCAAAAACTACTCTCACCTTAGTAGTGATACTATTCGCTCTTACTACTGCTTGGTGAGGTAGATAATATTTTCCCTGTCTTTTTGAACTTACTTTTTTCATATGTCCATCAGCTAGATACTCTTTCATGAATTCGACATATTCTCTCTTTAATGATGGGTTTGCCTGTAATCTTCTTTCCAAATTTATGAATCGTGCCATCGCCATTTTGTATGAGTCGCCAAGTTGGTGTTCTTCTTTGAAAGGTAACTCAACTACAAATCGTCCATCTTCATTTTTGGTAGTTGTCGGAGCATAATTTTTCATACAATATCCGTCTTCCGATGAATCTTCATCCTCTGGAATTTCTTCTATTTCCCAAAACTTTTCTATGTTGACGACGTTGGAAGAGATGAATCCTTTAATGCTTCTTTTTGCTTGTAAAATACCTGATAATATCCAGCCGAACTTTGTTGATTGCGCCAATATTTTATCTTTTTTAAGTAGACCGCCTTCAAGAATTTCTCCGTAAAGATCGCTTCCTATGATTATGTCAATTCTATCGGATTTATTAAAATTTGGGTCCGCCAAGGTCATATTTTCCCACTTATCTATATTATAGCTAAAGGTTTTATCCGGTTGACAAGATACCAATGATGGTAAAATTAATGCTTCTGCATTTATTTTATATTTACTGGTGAATCGTGGGTGAATTTGAAGATTTATTTTTGCCTTTGCAACGCCAACCGGTGTTCCTCCAAGCCCTTGCACCTCCATTTTTACTTTTTTCCTTGGTAAATTTAATATTTGTGCCGCTTCTTCTGATACAGCTGTAGTTTGCGACCCTTGGTCAATTAGTGCCCTTAACATAATCATCTCACCTTGAACACTTTTTACGCGCACTTGCGCCGTTGCAAGTAACACATTTTCTGCTGTGCCCGTATTCATTGTTAATGTTGATGTGTTATTATTTTGCCCTGAATTAATGTGCAAAAGAGTATTATGCCACTTCCCACAATCTTGACATTTTGTCTTACTATTGCATCTTTTTGTAGTTTTATGCGATAAACAGACGCGACAAATTTTAGCGTCTTTTACCCATGTATTTTTGTCCTTGACTTGTAGCTTTAGAAACTCATAACACTTTATTGCCATATGTTCTTTTTTGTTGCAGTAAAAGCACTGGTAATCATTTGCTACTATAGTTGTCGCTGTTGTTTTTTGAAAAGACTTTACATTATTAGTTTGTTTCTTAGATTTAATCGCCTCTGCTGCTTGGTATTGCTGCTCCAGAAACTGTAATACATCGTCCATTTTTTGAATCTCCTTTGTCCTTTTTATATTTTGCTCAAATAGCCGTAATCCTTCCTTATCCAACTTCCTGATTATAATCCTTGCTATTATTGGATCTGCTTCATTCGTTTTTATACCCATTGCCTTCAGCCCCTGGATACATTCTATCGATGTGTCAAGCAACTTTTTCAAACTTGACGCTGAATCATTATATACAGATGGTTGATCGAGCAATTTATCGACCAATATTGTAAACAACATTCTTTCATTTTCGTACCTTTGCGACAAAATCTCCCAAGCTACAGCATAATTCAATTCCGACACCGGTAGATGTTGTATCAGCTTGCTTGCTTCTCCTTTTACTAATGTTTTGAGTCGATACATTTTCTCAACATTCGAAATTTTTCCATCCTCATGGATAAGCCTTTTATATAGATCATGAAAAGACGACCATTCTTCAATATTACCGTTGAAATTTGGGATTCTAATGCAGTCAAGCTTAACGTTGTTCCCCTCACGTAATTTTTCCATTTTATTGGCTAATTCATCTAACGCCTTATCGTATTGGTCTTCAATCTCATCATAATCATTCATAATGTCTACTTCATTTCAATAACCAGCTTCTTATAGATACTTCTAATGTCTTCGAACTTTCTTTTCCAGATTCCATTAAGTTGTTCCAATCGCGTGACAGTATCATAATGGTCAAGATTTTCTCATACTCATAAACTCATATCTCATGCCCAATATGAGTAGAAACTCGTCATATGCCCAATATATCATGTAGAATGTGGTGAACGGATCCATTTGAGATGTTTAAGTCACAAACAATCTCCCTTTTAGTCATACGACGATCTTCCAGCACCATTTTCTTGATTTTTGCCACGTTTTGTTCAGTATTTGATGTTGATGGACGTTCAGAACGAGGCAAATCTTCGATCACTTTACGGCCCTCTTTGAATGATTTATACCACTCGTATACCTGTGTTCGAGAAGAAGAGTAGAAGAGTCCCCGTAAGCTTTCTGCACTATTTTCAATGCTTCAACACATGAAATTTTGTTCAAAAGACAAAATTTCAAACAAACTCGTTGTTCAACAAGAATTTTCCATAGTAAAAATCGCTAAATGCACTTGGGTTAGTCTCACATTAATAGCTGCCGTGAACAAACAAATTGACAGATGGCGCTCAAATTTTTAACATATGTCAAGAAAGGGCGTGCCAACATAACAAACTATTAAGTCTATTACTTAAGGAGTTGTTAACAAAATGCGGATATTTTTTGAGCAGAAGGTCTTGAAAAATCCTTTTTAAAAATAATTTAAATAACTAAACATGTTCTAATTAGAACAACTTGTATTACTTCAGTGTCTTGATTTCTAATTAATTTACATGTTTTCTTGATAATACAATGTTTTAATAGTTTAAATACTAAATATTCGTTAACTTCTAAAATGGCTGTTCTTAGATATCTTATTTTGTCAATATTTATGTCGTAATCGTCAATTTCTTGTTTCGTTAGAATATTTGCGTCGGTTAGTCCATTCTGAGTGTTTGGAGTTTATGTAAGTATCAATGTGAATAATTTCATTAATATCGTTAGGAGTTGGGGTAATTCTAAACTTATTGTTTATAGGATTCCTATCATATTTTCCAGCTGTACAAGTATCGCAATTATTTATTACTATGTTAATTAACTCTTTTAATTTGGGAAAATAAATTTTACATTTAAGTGATTCGTAATTTGCTAATATACCAGTATGACCTGATTCTCTTTTGTGAAATAATGATATTTGTTTTAAGGCTTCTTCTTCAGTTTTTAAGTCTGTGGCAAAAAAATTACACCTAATAAACTTTATTTTATTATTTGTTGAAAATGCTTCTAAAAGTTTTTGTTTTAGTTTGTTAAAAACTGGATCTGATAATTTAGAATATATGGCAATTTTTCCTGTAGAAAAATGTCTTCTAACAATATTAACAACATTTTGTTGTATATCATTTTTATCAATATATATACGTTTATTACTAAATATTCGTTCGAATTCCTTGTCTTTTTGTTCAACAAGTATAAGTTGATTTTTGAATCTATTTACTACAGTTTCTAAAATTGGTATATCATTCGAGTGAATAGCATTAGTTTGTTCGTTATTAGAAATTTTGTTAGATAAATGGGTAGATGATTCGATATTTTCAGATAAATTTATTTCATGCTTATCGAAATGAATTCTACTTAAAAAGTCTGCTATTTTATTATCTTTACCTTTTATATATTCTATTCTCGCATCATATTCGCCTAATTGTACTAACCATCTTTGGAGTCTGGGATTTATATCCTTGCCGGTGTATTTTGCTTGTAACCATTTAAGTGGTTGGTGATCAGTGTGTAAATCGAATTCCTTGCCATATAAGTATGGTCGAAAATATTTACATCCCCACACAATTGCTAATAATTCCTTCTCAATTGTACTGTAACGCTTTTCATGGTCGTTAAGAGTACGAGAAGCAAATGAAACTGGATGGCCATCTTGTGTTAAAACCGCTCCTAAGGCAAAATCACTTGCATCCGTTATAAGTTTAAACTTGTTTTTAAAATTCGGATAACGTAATATTGGTGGGCTTGTGATGAGAGCTTTTAACTTTTCAAATGCTGATATATAATTAGGATCATGAATGTTAACTTTAACGTTTTGTTTTAGGTATTTAATCATTGGTTGAGCAACTTTTGCATAATCTCGGATATACTTTCGGTAGTAACCTGTCATTCCGAGAAAACTCTTAATTTGTTTTTGGGTTCGAGGAAGAGTTAAATTTTGTATACTTTCAATTTTTTTTGGATTAGGTTTTACTCCTTTTTCAGTCAAAATATGACCTAAAAATTCTGTTTCTTTCTTTAAAAAATTACATTTATCTACTTGAATTTTCAAACAGGCTTTTTGTAATGTTAGAAAGATTTTATTTAGACTTATAATATGTTCTTGCAAAGAAGTACTAAAAATAAGAATATCGTCAAGATATACTACACAAATTTTGTTAATATATTGGCTTAGGATTGAATTCATCAACCTTTGAAATGTTGATGGTGCATTTTTAAGTCCGAATGGCATTCTCAAAAATTCAAAATGTCCA